ATAAAAATTGGATCTTGGTTGAAGTTTGACTAGTGAAAGTTGAGATTTTTGTGTGTTGATTTGGTAGGGAAAGCTAAGATTTTGAGACCCTTTTAGTTTTAGGTGAGAATTGAAGCTTTTTGTTGTGTTAGTTTGGTGGGGAAGTTAAGATCTTGAGACCCTTTTAGCTGAAAGTTTTGAAGAACTTGGGTTTTGAGGATCTGGTTCAATGGGTAATTGTTGTGCAGTACCAAAAACTTCAGAAACAGAGGAGAAGAAAAGGGGGAAGAATAAGCCAAACCCATTTTCTGTTGATTATGCTCATGGGAATGGACATAAGTCCTATGTGTTGGATAATCCAACTGGTACTGATATTGAGGCAACGTATGAGTTAGGGCGTGAGCTTGGTCGAGGTGAATTTGGGGTTACATATTTGTCTACTGACAAAGTAAGTGGAGATGTGTATGCTTGTAAATCAATATCGAAGAAGAAACTAAGGACTCGAGTGGATATCGAGGATGTAAGGCGAGAAGTTGAGATCATGAAGCATTTGCCTAAGCATTCTAATATTGTCACCTTAAAGGATACTTATGAGGATGATAATGCAGTGCATATAGTTATGGAGTTGTGTGAGGGTGGTGAGCTATTTGACAGGATCGTTGCGAGGGGGCATTATACTGAGAGGGCAGCAGCTGCTGTGACTCGCACAATTGTTGAAGTGATTCAGGTGAAGACTTGTTTTTAATGCTGTGTTAATCCTTAGTTATTTAATGATCTACTCTTAATTGCGTTATTTAGATTTGAAATTTATGTTAGTAAGTAGAATGGGAGAATTGTCACAACAGCCTAATGAATTGCCATGCTTGTTTAATATGCTTTAGGGTGCTAGTGATATAAGAATGTGTTGAATAACGTAGAGGAATGAGAATGCCGTTGTCATGCTAAGTAGATCAGCTTTCTATAAAGGGAACTAGCTTGTTGGCAATTAGGATTTGTTAAACTAATAAAGGAGTGAGATTGCATGGACATTTTCTCATAGATCTTTTTGGTCTGATACCAAGTAAGCTCTAAACTTATCGTTTCCCAGTCAGTTGGATGGCGTGACACGCTAAGTAGTCCAATTCAACATTGGGGAAAACGACATTGTGGAGTGATTGGTGTATGTTCTCTTTGCACCATTTGTCTCGGAGATTTTGTCATTTTTCAATAAGCTGAGATCAACTATCTGAGACCTTTAAAAGGAAAGATATTAACTGATTGACAAGATGCAAAATTCACATATGTTTAAATAATTTCCAATTATGGCTGGTTGGTTATTTGATATTTAATTACTTCTCTTTTTGTTTGGGTTACAGATGTGCCATAAGCATGGAGTTATGCATCGTGACCTCAAACCTGAAAATTTCTTGTTTGAAAACAAGAAAGAGACAGCACCATTGAAGGCAATTGATTTTGGTCTCTCAGTATTCTTTAAGCCTGGTAAATTTCCTAATATTTTTGTATCTTGCTGCTTTTGAATACTTGAACGTTATATTCACCGTTTAGCTTGTCATATTGGTTTTACAGGTGAGAGATTTAACGAAATTGTGGGAAGTCCGTACTACATGGCGCCCGAGGTGCTGAAGAGAGACTATGGTCCAGAAGTAGATGTGTGGAGTGCTGGAGTAATTCTCTACATCTTGCTATGTGGTGTTCCACCATTTTGGGCAGGTTAGTGTCCTTGCCCTTGAAGGGCTAGTTATTGGTGATTCACATTACAAATATCTTGCATGTTGCTACTTCACCAGACTATTTGGTGATGCAAACTCTTTATCCATATTCTCTTGTTGCTTATAATATTTATCAAGGGAAGTAATTCTTGCGCACCTACAATCTTGGCTCTGAGGAGCAGTTGTCAAAAAATGATAATCTTATAGTAAAAGAGACAACTATTAGTAGTGATGATTATATGGAGTATTATTTTTGTGTATTGCGATTCTTTTTAAAAAAATTAGACCAGGATACATGGTATTTACAAATTGACAATGACTCGAGTAAATGCATCTCGACTTGCTCTAATTTGTCCATATTGATCCTTGCCCTCGAAATTGATACTCTGAACTTCCAAAATAGCCTGCTCCATCTTATAGCATTCTCAAATAAGCATTGCTGGTAAAAGAAATTTTTATGGAAGTTTCTTTTGGTATCTTAATTGGTGCTCCTAATAATCTGTTTCCGAGCAAACAGATTGGCAAGTCAATTTTACTCTCTTTTAGTTTATACTCCAGAATAACTGTCGGAAGGAAGAAGCTGTTATATTATTTTATCAATCAACTGTTAAATACTAGCACTGGTTTTTGTTATGGTCAGCATGGTGCTTATATTAAAAAAAATTCTATCATTGCAGAAACTGAACAAGGAGTTGCTCAAGCGATCATTCGTTCTGCTGTAAATTTTAAAAGGGACCCTTGGCCTAAGGTCTCTGACAATGCAAAAGACCTTGTGAAGAAGATGCTTAACCCTGATCCTAGCAAGAGGCTTACTGCTCAAGAAGTTCTAGGTAAAAGCACTGGCTAAAAGAGTTTTTTTCATTTACTTCGTAAGCCATGTGAAAATTCATTATTCCTTGTCAAAGCTTAACGTTTCTGCTCTGACTGCTTATAGATCATCCCTGGATACAAAATGCAAAGAAGGCTCCAAATGTTTCTTTGGGTGAAACAGTGAAAGCAAGGCTCAAGCAATTCTCTATGATGAACAAGCTAAAGAAAAGAGCTTTAAGGGTGCGATTCCAACTCTGAGAATGATGTTTCTTCTTTTCTTTACTGTGAATGTTTTTCTCATAACAGCTACTAGTCTTGGGTTGAATTTTCTTCAATTAATTGCCTTTCTACCTCACAGGTGATTGCTGAGCATTTGACAGTGGACGAAGTGGCTGGAATAAAGGAGGGATTCCAATTGATGGATATAGGTAACAAAGGGAAGATTGACGTTAACGAGTTGAGAGTTGGGTTGCAGAAACTTGGCCATCAAATTCCCGAATCTGATGTACAAATTCTTATGGATGTTGTAAGTATCGAATTCTGTGTGTTGTATTTGACTTGTGGTCCTCTTATACTACCTAGTTGAATGCTTGAACCATCTCAAAACAATAAAATAGACAAAATAAATCAATATTCTACTGCTGCTGTTAGCTCCCCGCACCCAGTCAAAGTTGTTAAATGGCATATTCCTTCGATTATTGATAACTTCCCCCTCCATGCCCCATTGCCAGGCATCTGGATCTTAGCTAAAAAATGACTTGTATAACTACATTAGAATACTAGCCATGGCATTATAATGTTACTTGGGAGGAACAAAGGAAACTAATCAGTGATATTTCACAGGGTGATGTCGATAAAGATGGATTTTTGGACTACGGGGAGTTTGTAGCAATTTCAGTCCATCTAAGAAAGATGGCAAATGAGGAGCACCTGAAGAAGGCGTTTGATTTTTTTGATAGGAATCAAAATGGATATATAGAGATTGAGGAATTAAGGGAAGCCTTAGATGACGAGATTGAAACCAACAGCGAAGAAGTTATTAATGCTATTATGCAAGATGTAGACACTGACAAGGTCAGTAATATATTTTATATTCTGTGTGTTATATGATCTGGTTCCTTGTGTATTATTCTTATCCCGTTGATTCTATGAACCTGGGATTGGGAAAAAGAAAACGACGTTGTCATGCATTGATTATATGCTTACGTTTCATTCTCTTTCAGGATGGACGGATAAGTTACGATGAATTCTCTACTATGATGAAGGCTGGAACAGATTGGAGGAAGGCGTCAAGACAGTATTCACGTGAACGATATAATAGTCTCAGTTTGAAACTGATGAAGGATGGATCCTTACAAAGCTAGTTAAGTAAAGCTTTTGGCTTTCTAAATTCGTCCCTTCTTTCCTGTTCACCTTTCAATCTGCCATTTTTTTATTTCGTCTCTGTAATTTCTCTTCTGGGGGTGGATCAATTAACTTGGGGACTAGAACATTCATGTGTTCTTTGAGTTGTAATCATGTTGTGTTATTTTCTTTTTGTTTTTCGTTTGGACGATCCGAGGAAATATGGTGAAGGATAGAAAAGGTGATTATTGTGGTTGTATATAGGTTGGCATCGTATGCTTCAACTGTTCAGTTATGGATACCAGTTATTTAATGATACAAACATTTCAGATTCAAATTCTTTATTTGTTAACGTCTGTATATACTCAATCATCCCTGGACCCTACTTGTGGAATTATATGAGGTATGACGTTGTAATTGCCTCAGGTTGCATATAACTCTTAGCCTATTTTACATATATAAACAGAGAGGGAAGAAGTTTAAATCAATCAAAAAGAGAAGCCAAAACATAAGGAATTAGTATACATCAAAATCTTTTTCTTTTGAATAAAGAGAGGAATGAAAGTTGAGAGTTTAGTTCTCTCATTATATACATTACACATAAATCAAAACTATGTATATTTTCTAGCATCAACTGCATACAAATTAGATCATCCCAGTAACGACGAGAAGCTTTGGCCGCTGATTAAAAAATCATCAACAGAAGTATATTGAGTTGCAGTGATGTTCATCATCTCATTAGTCAATGTTGATGGATCATTATAGTCTCCTAATAGCAATGACTGAATACTATTATAGTTAGGCCACTGGGGTTGTGTTGTCATATCGTTCATCTTCTCATCATCACATCCAACATATCCTGATTCAATATTTTGCAATGGCTTCGCCATCTGTTGAGGAAGTTGATCACCATATCCATATTCATTAGGCCCCTGGGGTTGTATATCATCATCATCATCGTTTCTACGGGAAGTTGTTGTAGGCATATGATTTACTAATTCACCAGTGCAGATAGGCCCCTGGGGTTGTGTATCATCGTCATTTTCATTGGCAGTTGTTGTAGGCATATGATTTCCTGATTCTTTAACTTTACACCTAATGTAGCACAAAACAACATCCTCGTACTTTATTAACAACTTTATTACCTTGTCGTCAAGACTATACTCTTTCATAATCCATATGTTGAGGAAGTTGATCACCATATGCATATTCATTAGGCCCCTGGGGTTGTATATCATCATCATCATCGTTTCTACGGGAAGTTGTTGTAGGCATATGATTTACTAATTCACCAGTGCAGATAGGCCCCTGGGGTTGTGTATCATCGTCATTTTCATTGGCAGTTGTTGTAGGCATATGATTTCCTGATTCTTTAACTTTACACCTAATGTAGCACAAAACAACATCCTCATGCTTCATTATACCTCTATTTCTTAACAACTTTATTACCTTGTCGTCAAGACTATACTCTTTCATAATCCAAGAAACATCATTAACTTCATCCTCACCATCCTTTTTATTTTCTTCATAGTTATAACTTCTTTTGATCCCAACTTTCTTTGCCCCTACCGGTTTTCCTTTAGCCTTCCCTTTCCAACTTCCTCCTCCAACCAAAGTCCGAATAAACCTTGTATGGTCCGATTTTAACTTCTTTAATTGAGTAAAGAAATATTTAGTATCTGATGAGCCTTCCAATAACACCCATGGCTTCTTACTCCCATAAAGATCTCCAAATGGAATATCGTTGCAAACATAATTGTTAGAAGCAACAAATTTTATTAGATAGCGAATAAGTTGGTCATCAGTGGGCCGAAACCTGACTCCTAATTCTGACACTGGAGAATCATGGGTGATGCTCATAATTCTGTAGTGAAGAGAGTAGAAAAAAACTTTATGTTGTGTTGTAGAGAAGGTTATAGAATGATGAGTAGTCTTTGGTAAGTGGGTTTATATAGAATACAAGTGTAAAGGCGGTAAATGGAAATAAAAAAAAGTTTCCTTATATAAAATCAGTTACTTACTGTATAGAATGATGCCTTATATATAAGTTTGTTTGTATAAAGGGAACCAAATTTAAGAGGAATTGGGAAATGTAAATGCAAAAACTTACCTTATATTTCAAAATTAGTTACTTAAAATCACCCTAATACAAACGTAATGCAAAAACTTTCCTTATATAATAAAATTTGATGTATAATCAATAATTATATGATAAGTGAGGTGTACTTATAAGTTGATTCCAATTGGGAATCAGCTATCCGTTGAGAGTGTTAGCTTAGTGTTGTTTTTATAATCTACACACACCAGAAGCTGCAGCAGGATGAAAAACCTCTCAATATGTTCCCTACTCCAATGGTATTATTGCGAAGGGCCCAATGCAGTGGCGAACACAAGATTTTCACCAAGAGGGTTCAACATCTACTGTATATTATAATATATGAATAAAGATTTTAATGTTGCATATGAAATGCCAAAGCTCCATTTACACATGGACAAGAAAAAAGAAGTATATATGATTGAATGCCTTGTACAGAATGGTACATATCAACAACTGTTTCTGGTTTTAACCTTTCCCATATAACCTCCTTACTCTCTAATATGAAAATCGAAATTATAAGCTCGGAGCTGATCATCATAGGAGAATAGCAACCTCAGACAATAGACATAGTTTAACTATTTTGATCACTAGTCTACGCTAACAACAGTGAATTTCATACGGTTTGTATTTCTAAATGATCTGAAGGTCTGAGATTGAGCAGAGACTTAACATTAATTGCAAACAAGAAATTTAAGTTTCTTTTCAAACTTTAACCTGAACAGTACTAGCAATCAGATAAGTAGAGATTAAGAAATAAAAGTATATTTGATTATATGAAACAATTTCACTTACATATTCGTGTAATCATAACTACCTATATATTTTAGACTAAGAAACCAACTCAGATAGCCATACCTGGTTTTCTCCCATAAAGTCATCAAAATCACCTAATTCATCTATTAATAAGCACTCATCGTTGTTTAAAACACCAGTGAATGTTGGATCAACTTGATAATCTGCTGTCTCTTCAACATTCTGCACTTGCTCTTCGTGATATGTTGACGATTGCTCAGGAACAACAAATTCAGCATTAATATTTCCTTCATTCATTGTAGCACTACTTCCTTGAACCATTGGACACGTGACGATTAGCTTAGAAAGTTGATAATCATCAAGCCACTGGGGTTGTGTTGTCATATTGTTCATCAACTCATCATCATATCCAACATATCCTGATTCAATATTTTGTATTGGATTCACCATCTGTTGAGGTTGATCACCATATGCGGATTCATTAGGCCACTGGGGTTGTGTTGTTATATCATTCATCTTCTCATCATCACATCCAACATATCCTGATTCAATATTTTGTATTGGATTCACCATCTGTTGAGGTTGATCACCATATGCGGATTCATTAGGCCACTGGGGTTGTGTTGTTATATCATTCATCTTCTCATCATCACATCCAACATATCCTGATTCAATATTTTGCAATGGCTTCACCAACTGTTGAGGAAGTTGATCACCATATCCAGATGCATTAGGTCCCTGGGGTTGTGTATCATCATCGTCATCATCATCATCATCATCATCTCCACGTCCTGATTCTTTATCTTTAACTTTCCTCCTAATGTAGCACAAAACAACATCCTCGTGCCTCATTATACCTCTATTTCTTAACGACTTTATTACCTTGTCGTCAAGACTATACTCTTTCATAATCCAAGAAACATCATTAACTTCATCCTTACCATCCTTTTTATTTTCTTCATAGTTATAAGTTTTTTTTATCCCAAATTTCTTTGCACCTACCGGTTTTCCTTTGTCCTGCCCTTTCCAACTTCCTCCTCCAACCAAAGTCCGAATAAACCTTTTATGGTTTGGTTCTAACTTCTTTAATTGAGTAAAGAAATATTTAGTACCTGCTTCCATTAATTCCCATGGCTTCTTACTCCCATAAAGATCTTCAAATTGAATATTGTTACAAATGAAATGGTTAGAAGCAACAAATTTTATTAGATAGCTAATAAGTTGTTCATCGGTGGGTAGAAACCTGACTCCTAATTCTGAATCTGGAGAATCGTGATTGATTCTTGTGATCCTCATAATTCTTGTTAAACTAACTTTATGTTGTGTTTTAGAAAACGGTACAGAATGATTAGTAGTCTTTGGTAATTGGGTTGTATAGCATAGAAGTGTAAAAGCGGTACGTAAATGGAAATCAAATTTTAGAGGGAATTGGGATAAAAAAGAGTTTTCTAATTGTCAAACTAACCGTAATGCAAACGTAAAGTCCACTTTTTCTATTTTATTTTATTTCTAATTTGTAAAGCTGTATAGAATGATGCCTTATATATAAGTTTGTTTGTATAAAGACGGTAATGGAAACCAAATTTAAGAAGAATTGGGAAATATAAATGCAAAAACTTTCGTTATATTTCAAAATTAGTTACCTAAAATCACCCTAATACAAAAGTAATGCAAAAACTTTCCATATATAATAAATTTAAAATTTGATGAATAAATAAATAATCAATAATTATATGATAAGTGAGGGTGCTTATAAGTTGATTCCAATTGGGAAATGGAGCATTATTTTATGGCATAATACATAAACGTATTTTTTAACGTGATTTCAATTGATTTTTATATTTTTAAAATTTTGAGTGTGCACAAATAAATATTTAAACTTGTTTAAAACTAAACAAATTAACACATTCATATGAAAATAATGTTATAGGGTGATACGTATCATTACTATTGCATTATATTTAACATAATTACTATTGTGACATTAATATAATATTTATATTTTAAATTTTGAATGTGCACAAATAAGTATTTAAATTTGTATAAAGCTGAACAAATTAACACATTCATCATATATGTAGAAAATAATGTTATGGGGTGATACCATCAAAATTGTGACAATTATATAATTATCGTTGAATTATATTTAACAATAATAATAAATAAAAATATTTAGCAACATGTCACATGTTGATACTTTGCATAAATTTCCTTTGTGGAGATCAACAATTACATAAACTTGGTTTGTTTTCAGATGGGACATCACATAATTAATGGAATTTTGTTTCATTATTTGAGTTGACTAAGTTAATATAGAAGTGAGATCAAGAGTTGGTTAGTTAAATAATCTTTTATAAAATTAAGATATTTAAATTAAAACGAAAAAAGTAAGATATTTAAATTATTTCAAGTCAGATATACATAGATACTGTTTTGCTATCAGATACACTGGAATAGGGATATAGGAGAATGAGAACAAGAGGGAGGCTAGCGAAATTTGTTTATCTATCTTAGATACACGGTGAATCACACAAAATACACACTAGATTCATATATCTAGTGTAATTCGCATGCATTTGGGATTCCAGGTATGCGAGCGTGATATAAGAGGCGAGCAAGATGGGAATGAGGTGAATGAGATGAGAGGGAGGCCAGCGAGATTTGTCTATGTATCCCAGATACATACAAATCTATTTAAATACAGTGTATCTAGAACAAATTACAACTATTTTTGACCTCATGTATCCCGATATACATGTACATGAACGTATCAGGAAGCACACCAAAATCTCGTCAGACTAATAATAGTGCAAAATAATGTGTATCTAAGTAATTAACTCTTAGAGTACTGAAATTTTGATAAATTTCTCTTTTAATATATAATTCTACATTATAGGATAATGTTAATACTTTGACACATTCATAGTATGGAAGTCCAAAAAAAAGTTTGAAAGCAACCAAAACACCCAAATTTATTTTGTGGAAGATGACAATAAAATATTTTCTTTTTAAAAAGTGAACATTAAAAGTGGAACTTTAATTATTGATCACACACATGGCAACAATTTGTAATTTTAGTGGATTCAATCACAAATGGGCTTTTATTTAAATGCTTTGTCGAACTAGTTAAAAGGTTTAGGATTTAGTGGACCATCCATCAATCAAAAGCCCATCAACCACGTATTCTCGATTTTGGAATTGGGGCCATAATAATAACCGCGTTGTTTCTCTTACGACGATTCGATGTTATTTCATTATATGATTTTGATCGTGTTATTACGATATCTACTGAAGTATTTGAATTTATTTCGATATGATCTTGCTATTAGCATGAAAATGGTATTTTTACTTTAAGATAGATGTTTAGTTAAATTAATTGAATGCGATTATTTAACGTGTTGGACTTATTATGGTTCATACTAATTTTTATAAAAAAAATAAAAAAACCAGATACACTTTGCTAGTTTTAGATTTTAGCATTTTTTTTTTTGTAGGTATAAGCGTGAGATTTAACTATCTTGCATTGTTTTATAGTTTTATTTTTAACTCAAATTTATATCAAATGCTTTCATAAATTATTTTTGATATAGAGATAAATATTTTGTCATAAGATATTTTTTAGTGTTTGATTGACTATTAGTTAAAGATGTTTTTTTTTTGTTTCGCACCTGATGTTTGATTTTGTATTAAAGTCTGAATACTTTGAATTTGCGTCGCGTAGGACCTCATTCGGAGAGAAGTGCTTCCTGCGATGAATTTGTCCATACCCAAAGTTCAAAGCTGAGTCATCTAAAGTTTAAAATACATTATGACAATTTATATTGATATATTTGAAAATATTAAAGATTGACAACCATATTTAAGGTTATTATTAATACAAATGATCAATTAATACTCATAAATATATGAACTACCAAAGTCATTAATTCTATTACTTATGGAAAAAACATTTCATCATATACCAATATAAGGTTAATTATGATAAGATAATAATGATTTTGAATCAGAA